GTTGAGGTTCCTAGTGATAAGGTTAATGGACAGAGAATGTTAAGAGGCTGTCTAGCTCTCAAAAGATTGGATGAGCACTGGTCTATGCATCCCTCCCTTTGATAGAATCCTTGCATATCCTTAGTTGTAGTACCCTCAGCCCTTTTCACTTTCCCAAGGGTAGTCTACTACAGTATGAAAAGCATTGACATGATATAGAGTCTCATTTGCTTTTCCAATTATTAATGGTGTGACTTAGAACCAGCAACTGAACTCCTCTGGGCTTCCATTTTCTCATCTGTGAAAACAATGATATTTCCAACCATACAGGGTTGGTCTGAGAATTAAATAAAATAACAGTTAAAGTACTTGGTAGGAGATCAACAAATATTAATACTAATAAAATGACAATCACAAATATTTGCTTAATTTTGGTGCATTATCTTAATATTCTTGACAACTCTGATTTAGCTTTATTTTTTGCCCCACTTTACAGAGGAAATTGAGGCTCATAGAAGTTTGGAACTTACCTGATTTATACACATATAGTGTGTAGCAGACCTGGAACTCAAACCCCAAAACATGGTTTTAACAACTTTTCTATAAGACTTTCTCCTCCTCTTTTCCCATCTGCTTCACAAAGCAATTGCTGCCATATCATCCTACCATTGTGACTCTGTCTCTGTCCTCAAAACTCTGATGTTTATACCAACTTTTTCAACTTCATCATGATGTAATCCTAAATGCCTCCACCGATAGGATATGGGTCATTGGGAAAGTGTCAGTGACCTTATTTTCACCTACAGATGCTTGCCATTGGTCTTGTCCAAGTGCCTAGCATGTGTCATGACAGGATAAGCCTGGGGCTCCACATCCAAGTTGTGATCATTCTGGTAACCCTGCACTGAGACTCTAATTCCAGCTAAAAGCAGCTGCCAATTGCATTATAACTTTCTGTCTCACTAGGCTGCCCCTAGTGAAGGTATTATAATGAAGGTTGAGCAAAATTAGAGAAATAAACCAAAATAAAAAATTAGAGGATCTTGAAATAATATTCATATGTGGATATGCAGCATGAGTGGCCACAGAGCAGTAGGAAAAGGATAGGCCTTTCAATTAATAGTGCTGGCTCAATTGAGGAACCACAGACAAAAAAAAAAAGAAATTAAATGACTTTCTTACTTCATGCACAAAGCCAATTTTAGGTGGACAATATACTTTTACTTGAAAACAAGCGTGTAAAACATCGAATAGATTCTGTAGAATATCTTTATGACTTCTAGGAGAGAAATTTTCTTAAGTAAGTCCAAAGCTCATTAGTCATAAAAAGATTGATAAATTTGCCTTCACTAAAATTTCAAACTTCTATTTATCATCAGATAACTACATATTAATTTTTTTCCTTTCTTCACAGTTGACTGAGTTAAAATACCTCTGTTAACAGACAAGCCAGCAGGCCTTTAACCCAGTCCAAACACCTCCTAAAACAAGGCTATGAAGATTTAGGCAGGGGGTATGAGGACTACGTATTCCCCTATCCCTTATATAAATATAATTAACTAAATAATTTTTTCTTTTGACATGCAGTAATAAGGAATCTAGTCTTGGGAACGTAGAATGTTAGTGGGTGAGATAAATCCTTGCACAAATTAGGAAGGTAGAGACTATTCAGGACATCGGACAAAAACCTGGGTATTGTTTCTATGCTTTTGCAATGATAGTGTTTTGGTTAATGTCTCCTTTCTTCATGAGACAATAATCTCCATATGGAGAGGGACCATGTCTGTCTTTGGTCACTTCTTGACCAGCACACTGCCTGGCAAATAGTACTCTGCTCAATTAATAGTTATTAAATAAAGGAATGGCATATTCCCATTCCCACTAAGCAAGGTGGAGGATGAGGAGCTCTGGATACTCATTTTCTCCCCACTTACAGTAACTTAAAGAAAAGTTAGTTCATCAACTCGAGGAACGTACAAGCTAGTAATAGTGGCTTGAGCTGGAGTCTTTCCTGTTTCGATAAAATTACTTCCTCATCCAGGAAGCACCAGTTGTTATGCAATTGCCTAGGTGCTCTCATCCCTCTTCCAATTCCTATGAATACGTAGGATGTTTGGTGGAGGCAGAGTCTCTTTCCACCATAAAGTTTGCCACAGTATGTCTAGTCAAGTAATGCTCAACCTTAGCGCCTCAGAGAGGGAGAGTACAGGGGATCATTGCTCTTTGCTCCTCTTCTGCTTAAAAGTTTTTCCATAAAAAAAGCATGTAATTATACAGGTTTTATACATGTGTGTGCACATTTTTACAAAAGGGGAAAATGTGATGCATTCTGTTTTTATACATATTGAGGCTCCCGTGGGATGTTCAGGTAGGAATATCCAATACAGCTTTAGATATTAGGGTCAATAGCTTAGTGTCTGGGATGGAGGTGAAAACTGAGGATCATCAGCATGCATTGCCTTCAGATTGCTATGGGAGTATAGAGGAAGGACGCTTAGCCCACTCACTGGATAGTTTCCTGGGAGAAGACCTGCAATGGGTCTTTAAGGATGGATTTTCCTGTATTAACAGTGTGTAATAAAAGGAAACTTTCCAGGGAGAGAACATGACCTTTGCTATGCAAAAGGAGAAGGCACACATAATGGGTTCTATTTGGACTCTGTAACCTAGAGATCCCCTTACAAGAACAGAAATCCCAATTCATCCTAATTCTCTGTCAACCTTTCCTTGACTTATGACAGGCTTAAACCACTATGAGTTTCCTCAATTGACTCTGCAAGGAGCATCTCCCAATCTGCTAATAAGAGCCAGTGAGAAAGTTTTATTAATGAAAAATTGTATTTAATGTTTAAAGCCACTTTTAGGTGTTAATAAAAATAGAGTGGTCCTGGTCTAGAAGGCATTCTAACCCTTTACCTTCCTTTATGGTGTTGTAGGCATGAGACTGGAAAACATTTAGAATCAGGGTACTACAGAGTCTGAACTGTACTTTGGGAGCAGAGAAAAAGGCAAAGCATTTGACTGAGACTAGAAGAGAGGCTGGGTTTGAGGATGGTTAAGTGAGCTGTGATTGGAGGTGACCTTGTGAGATGATCCAGGAAGAAATGGGAGCAATACTGCCCCAAGGTCCACCCTCTTCCCAGCCCCATGCTACAGGCAAGGCTAGAAAGTTACAAGTCACTATGCCTCTCATCTCCTTTTCCCTCCTAAGATCACAGGCTGGACTAAACCAGAAACCCAAAATCTCAACTCTGTCCCTAACACTGTGAGACTTTTTGGAATTTAAGACTTTCTGAGATTAATTTTAACTCTATAAAATGTTAATAACAAGCATGCTTCTTCATAAGTGCTCAAAACATTTTTGTTAAATAAATGAATGAATTTTACCATATCCACAAAGGTCTTACTTGGAAACATTCTGAAAAAGTACAAAACATTTTAAATGTACTAGAGATTATTTTGTCTTTGGCAAAAGCAGGTATTTACTTGACTCTGGCTCTCCCTGGAAGATGCTAATTTCTGAGGCCTCCAGGGAAACAATGAGGAGAAAAATCCCAATGTGAAAATGATGTCAGCCAAGTTGTTTGTCTTTTTGTCTATCTGTCCTTTATTAAGCTAGACCATTTATGGGGGACAGTGGGTCCTCCTCTTTGCCTGAAAAGAGTCTGCCCTCTTAGCCAGGTGAGTACCATACCAAAACCCCTCACTGTACTCCTACAACTTGGTCTCCACTCAAATGATGTTCACCCTCTGGACCCAAAATGACTTCTCCCTGGCCCCCAGAAAGGCCCAGTGGGACTTGGGGACTTGAATGTGAGAAGTAAGAAAGCACGAGGAATCAGTGATGATTAAGGGTTTTGAGAAGCACTAACCAGAAAGATGGCAAGGCTGCTACCAAAATAGTTAAATCAAGAAAGACTGAGATTGAAGAAGGGCATTCAGATGTGAAGACATTGAGTTTGAGGTCATGGTAAGAACATGCAGAAAAGTCCAGACCATTAGATGGTGGTTGACCCGTTGGGAACCTGAGAAGACAGAAGAGTGAAAAGCTCAGTGATGGTGGAACTGGAGGCAGAGGGGAATTTAGGGTCTGGGCAACTGCTTACCCAAGACTCCATCTGTGTGAGAGAGTTTGCCTGTGTATTCAACTCTACTGTATCCAATGAACCCAACTGGGAGGATAAGCCTTGAAACTCTCATCCTGTTCAAAAGTTCTTTTTAATCCTTCTTATACAGTAAAAGGTCAGCATTTTGGAACACATATTTCCTAGACTGTATGGAGAAATACAATATCATCTTGCAGTTTAGAACATCTATAAGGTGGTAGTCCCCAGCTATAGAGCTGGAAATGTGCTCAGTGTTGTCTCCCCATTTAGTTTCACTGTTTTTCATTTCATTTCACTTTGTTCAGAAACATTTGGACCAGTCTCTTGGCTTCACACTTTAATCTTTTAATAGTCTGGGCCATAACAGACATTTCACTACTGCCATCACATATGATGACATGTGTATGCGGAGGCTGCAGTGAACATACCTCCACCTTCCCCTGAAGCCTCCCTTCTATCTTCCGGGATCTTGTGTAGCTAAATAAGGCCATGCCACCACCTGCAGCCTTGTGGTTTATCCCCTAGAACTTTGACCTCAGGAAAACAGCCTTTCCCTTTAACTTTCAACATTTGCTCCCATTTTTATTATATCAATTCCGTTATTTCTGAGTCTGTCCAAAGTCACTGTTTTTGCCCATTAAAAGTCAGATGTATTAAGTCTTTTCCTATTACATCAAATCTGTACCTTTCTTCCCCTTAAATTTCGTGTCTTCTTCCACATCCTGGCCCTCTCCTGGACATTCAAAATCTCACTCTCCTTCTACCAATATTGGCCCCATCTAACATTGCTCAGTAGGCTGTTGGTGGAAGACAGCCGTGGAACTGGGAGCCTCAGGAAATGATTTAGTTGTCCTGCTGGGCTTAATGGAGAATTCAGCACTATAGTCCATCTTTGTCATCTTCTTGTTTATGCAGCTATTGTTGGGGGCAACTTCAGCATTCTGTCTGCCACCCTAACTGAATGCAAACTCTATACTCCCATGTACTTCTTCCTGGGAAATCTATCCCTACTGGATGTTCAGTGTGTCAGTGTCACAGTTTTTGCTAAGTAGAGGCATTTCACATCCAATGACAGAAACATACCCTACAGGGCCTGCCTCTCCCAGCTCTTCTTCTTCTACCTCCTGGCTGGGGCAGACTGCTTCTTGCTGACTGTCATGGCCTATGACCACTATCAGGCCATCTGCCAGACCCTCACCTATGGCACCCTCATGGTCTCTGCCCTGGCAGGAGAAGTTATGTCTGCAGTTCATGCAGGAGTTGTGAACCTTCACTTCCTTCACTTTCGAGGAAACTGATGACTCATCAAAAGTGGCCATCCTCATGGCTCTGGCTCTGAAGGGCCTGAGACCCACACTGCAGCCCAGCCAAGAAGAGGCACAGGTGTCACCCTGTGTGAGAAATGTCCTCTTCCCTGATCCCCTGCAAGAAGCACAGACTCCTGAATCTGGACTTTATTCCCTGCTCTGGCCCACTCTCGCTGCCCTAATCCTCTCACCTCTATATGGCAGTCAGTAGGTATTACACGGGCCAAGGTTCAACCATCAGTCAACAACAGTTTCTTGTCTGTGTACTTTCTGAGTATCCTTGTTAGGGTGCTGGCGGCTGTTGTTTGTTGAGAACAGGGTTGGCTTGGCCATCCAGAACCGGGCTCTAGTCATGCCAGTCTCTTGCTCCACAACCTCAGCTGGTGCCCTGGGCAGGAGAAACAAGGACACAGGCTGGTGTCCCGCAGCACTTCTCCCTGTCCCTCCTCCCTCACTTAGACCAAGTCCTGCTCTATTGGACACTGCCCACTGTCTTCTTCCTTCCTTCGCTCTTTCCCCTTCCCAGGATGCCCATTCTGCTCCTCTATCATTCCGGCCTTTGAGGCTGGCTTGAATTCTTCTTTCTCCAAGAGGCCTTCCCTCCTTCCTGAGTCTTGGAGAATGTGGACTGTTCCCTCCCAGTCTGCCCTGCGTTGTAGGCATATGCAGGTGGGTCTGCCTCCCTTAGCACACCAGCGCTCCTTGAAGGCAGGGACTCCATCACTGCATCTTTGACCTCTGTGGCCAGCACGGGGCTGGGCACAGGGCAGCAGAGGAAGTGCCTGAGTTGGGCCGCAGGGTGTCTGGAGTCTGGCCCTGAGCTGGTGCTATTGGAGAGAGGAGCCCGTAGACCTGGGGAGATGAGCACAAGACAAGGTGGGGTGGTGGAGAGTGCCCCCAGGGCCATCCAAGGCCTAGGTTGCTCTGGGAAGGCTTTCTGAAGAAGGTGGAACTGTGTGGAGTCTAGAAGGTTCCCAGAGGCTGAGGTGGGGATGAGGATAATTTGGTAATGGTAGGCATGCTGAATGGGCCCAGAAGAAGCAGAGATGCAGGTGAGGCCAGATCCAGGAGGACTTGGGCAGCTGATTTGGGAGCTTGAATTCTGTCTCAAGGGCAATGGGGAGCTCTTGAAAGATCATAGTTCAGCCAGAACAGTGAACTGGTGGGACAAAGCCTAGAGACGGGATAAGGAAACTGCTGCATGGTCCCTGATTTAGGGAAAAGGGGTAAAGCCTGAGTCACAGCCCAGGGCTAGTGAGAGGCCCTTTAGGAATAGACAGTTGGGACAGAGGGGAGCTATCTCAGCTCAGAGTCTCACCCCTGCTCAGTCAGCCAACTCACCGCTTCCTGGACTCTGTCACCTGGGAAGTGGAAGGGTGGCTAGCCTGTGGCCGACTCTAGGAGCTTGGCCCTTCTGGCAGACTTCCCTTGCTCTTCCTTTACCCCAGGCCTAACTCTCCTCCTGGCTGGAAGATATGTTTCAGAGCCTGAGCCCTCTGGGCAGGGCAGGCCCCCAGTGCACACCTGGCCTATTTCAAAGTCTTTTCAGGGCAGGTTGCCTTCCCAAAGCTTCCTTCTCCACCTTGATTTGCTACTCCTCCAGAAGGGCTCCAGGTTGCCATGTCCAGTGGTGCCTGCACTTCCTATCAATGTCATCCCTGCCTCAGCAGGGCCAGGGTGGATGTGAGGCCCCATATCCTGGGGCTGACTTGAGGGCGCACATGGGGATGCCTAGATTGGGACAGCCAGGTAGTTGCTGCACTTTGCCTTGGTTGTCAAGATGAGGAGACCACAGATGGAGACAACACTACAGAGAAGTTCAGCTTGATGGGAAGAAAGAAATTACTGAGGTAGCTAGTGGAGAAACAGAATATTAAGGGAGATTTGAATTTTGTTTTAGTTTTGCTCAAAGATAAGTAGAACTACATGTCTGTATGCTGGCAGGCAGACACTAAGAATTAAGATGATGGTTAAGATACCCAATAAAAGGATCATTGACAGAATAGCATACAAAGGAATGTGAGAAAGTGAAGCAGTGATAATAGAAATGTTTGTCTGTATATTGATGTATTTGTTGCTTAAGAGAAAGTACTCATTTAAGTATTTATTAAAGAAAATGTGATAGAATATAATAATTAAGTACTGAGTTCTAAATAATTGAAATCTCCCAGTCATCTCCTTTGTTAGCAAATGATTCTGTTAACAATCAATTCATCCCATTGTTAACAATGCCTACTCACTGCACCTGCCCTCAAGGAATGTATAAACACATAACATTATAATAGAATATACAAATTACAATGATAAAGTTTGCATAGTTTATTATAAAACCACACCTTTAAAATCACTCACCTGCAGAACTTTCAAGCATTGAAAACCAGGGTTACCATACAACTGTCATCTAAGGTTTAAATTAATAAATATATATTTTTAAATTTTTTCATTTGTCCAACAAACTTGTACTAAAATCCTGCTAAATGTTCGGCATAGGGCTGGGCAAAAAACCAAAACAAAGCAAAACTCAGTGTCTCCCCTCAAAGAATTCAGTCTGTTTTGGCAAAATGCTGTGCCAGTGTTGGCTATTAATAGATAATTGTTATCTGGATCATGCCGGATAGTACATCCACTGATCTTAGGTTGGAAACCCCCCCCAATTAAACTTATCCAGTGATTCTAGAATATTCCCAGTAACACCGCTGCCCCTCTGGGCGTGCTCTCCATCGGTCCTCAGTAAGAGAGATTTCACTGGAGAACTGAGAGTGAAGCAAGATCGCAATGGTGTATGCAGCAATTAGATGAGGGGAGAGACAGCAAATAAAGATTATACTGTCAATTTTAAGTGAAAAGGAGGAAAGTTTAAAGTGTTTTTAAAGATATTTGCCTAAAGATATTCTTTTATTTTATTTTATGTATTTATTTTTGAGTTGGAGTCTCACTCTGTCACCCAGGCTGGAGTGCCGTGGCATACTTGCAGCCACCACAGCATTGCCCTGTTGGGCTCAGGTGATCCTTCCACCTCAGCCTTTCAAGTAGCTGGAATTACAGGCGTGCACTACCACACCTGGCTAATTTTTTATTTATTGTAGAGATGAGGTCTTGTCAAGTTGCCCAGACTGGTTCAAGCCTGTGGGCTCAGGCAATCCACTTGGCTTGGCCTCCCAAAGTGCTGAGATTACAGGCTGAGACACTGAGCCCGCCCCTTTTTTTTCCTTTTTTTTTAATGAAGGGAGACACGAAAAACTTGAGGAGAAAAGAGAAGTTAAAGGTATGAGAGACGCAAGATTATTACTTAAAGCACATCTCTCTAAAGCAGATATAAACAGGTTTCTATGGAAGAGGGAGCAGGAAGTTGAGGGCATTCCCATCAGCTATCTTGATCTCTGTGAAATAAGAAACAAAGCCAGTTGGTAAGAGGAAGGTAGTAAGTGATGGTGGGAACAGCTGGGGCTTCAGGAGAGTAGTAAGGGTGGGCACAAAGGGGAGTGAGAGGAGCCTGGCTGTATGAAGATGCAAAGCAAAGTTTGAGATATCAGTATCAAGAAAACTACAAGGTTTTACTGAAAAAAAAAAACGGATAGATATACCATTTCCTGGATGGAAAGACTAAACATTCTAAAACATCAATTAATTCTTTCTTAACTAGTTTATAGGCTTGACTCAGTTTCATTCTACATTCAAATGAACCACTTTATAAACTTGGAAAAATAAATTTCATTTGACAAAAGTGAAGAGGCTAGGTAAAATTATCTTGAAAAATAAGATGAATGAGAAGATTTATTAAAATGTAACAAAGTTTCAAAAATTCACACAGAATATAATTGGTAAAGAATGAACAGATCAATGGAAATAGGTCAACAGGTCTAAATTACTTTTATCTAGTATTCTCTGTCTATTATTATCACTACTGTAATAACTACTATTACTACTACTACTAACAGCAGTCTCTTAGCAGGCTTACCATGTGCCAGACACTGTACACAGCACTATTATTCAATTTGTTTAACTCCCACAGTAACCCTATGAGGTGATCTCTCCATTTGACAAATAAGTATAGTGAGACACTGAGATGTTAAGTAATCTGCCCAAGGATACAGCTAACAAGTTGAAAAGCCAGAATTCACAGCAAGGCGATCTGATACCAGGACTCACATTCTGTTATACTGCCTCAAGTGTTACATTAGTTGGCTATTCATAAAACCAAAAAGTGGAAATAAAAGCTAAAATTTCAGCTGGGTGATGTAGATTGTGCCTGTATTCCCAGCTACTCCCACCTCAGGAGACTGACGTGGAAGGATTACTTGAGCCCAGGAATTCAAGGCCAGTATGAGCAATATTGCAGGACCTGTCTTTAAGAAAACCACAAAAACTAAATTTCAGAAATTGTAGAATTATTTCAAAGCTTGTCATATTTATCCTCAAAGTCAGTCAGAGGTGAGAGAAAAAAAGAAAAGATAAAGTTTGTCATATTCATATCATGGAATTTTATGTTCAATTTTATATGTGTATAGTCCAAATTATGCCCCCTTGAAATCATATGTCGAAGTCCTAGTCTCCAGTGTGATGATAGTTGTAGATGGGGCCTTTAGAAGATAATTTGGTTTATGTGAGGTCATGAAAATGTCATTTTCAAGATGGAATAGTGACTTTATAAGAAGAAACACCAGAGAATTTATTCTTTTTCTTTCTCTCTGACACATGAGTGAACACTGAGAAGGCAGCCATCTGCAAACCAGAAAGCGAATCCTCCCCGGAGCCCAACAATGCTGGCATTCTTATCTTGGACTTCAATCCTCCAGAACTGTGAGAAAATAAATTTCTGTTGTTTAAGCCACTCAGTCTATGGTATTTTGTTATGAC